AGCTATTCATGAGCCTTCATTTATTAGTTTAAGATTTTGGTTGAAATGATTCTTTATGACTAAGTAATTATGAGTTCGATCGATCCTCAACCACCCCCATTCTATTAACAAAATAATTAAATATTATGGAGTTTCCTAGCATAGGTAGGCTGAGGCTGATACATTATTCATCCTTCAAGGTCAATGGGCTCTTGTGTAAAGGGCTGTGTTAGAGAAATATAAAAATCATCGATGGGTCTTCACTTACTAGCTTAAGCTTTTAGGTTGAAATGATTCTTTATATAATATCGGAGCTGATATGACTAAGTGGTCATTAGTTCGGTCCTTAACCGCCCCTATTATATTAACAAAAATAATTAAATATTATGGAATTTCTTAACTAGTGTTTTAAAACTTGGATCGAACCGGCCGTGTCGACCTGGATTTTTGTAACCCAGTGAGGGCATCAGTTCAAGCTGGCCATTGGATCAGTCATGCAATTGAACCGATTTTGACTGTTAACTTGGTCGAGTCTTAGTGACTCGCAGGTCATATCAAACCCGACAGGTCAAGTTGTTTTCTCCTTTAAATCGATTTTTTAAAAATTAGACAAAATGTTGCACTTTTGATAGTGGTCGGGAATCGAACTCAACCCATGGGAATAAGTAGTGTTATCACTTACCACTGGGCCACTATGGGAGTAAATATTGTTATCTCTTACCACTAGGTTATCCTCAATTGTTGGTCAAAATGCACCTTATAATATATTTATTACATAATTTAATATAAATTTAATTAAATCGGTTGAACTAGTGACCCAGTACATCGATTGAGTCAATGATCGGACCGAGTTTTAAAATATTATTCTTAACATAAATAGGCTGGGTTTGATACATCATCCACTCTTCAAGGACAATGGACTCTTATATGAGTGAGTGTATTAGAGAAATATAAAAATTATTTATAAACCTTTACTTATAAATTTAAATTTTTGGATTGAATCGATTCTTATAGGCTCATGTACTTTTTAGGTGATATGGCTTGAATTTGGAAATGAATTTGTACCAAAAATAAGTGTTCCTGTATAACCTTGTGGTTGTGAGGTCGAGAGTAGTGTGGCTGTGGTACCGTGGGCATTGTAGTCCTTGCACTTGTACGTGGTCTAGGCACGTGAGAATATTATTAATGATTATGATATTAAAGAAATATTTTAAGGAGTTTGGGAATTGGGACAATGTAGGGGAAGTAGATATGAATATGATTGTTTGCAAGGGAGATATAATATAAATTATTGAAGTCCATCGCTCGTTAGTTTAAACTTTATAATTGAATTAATTTTTTATATGGTACCTGATAAGTCCATGATTTGTGACTTAGAACATGTGGTTTGATGTTAAAATGGAAATGAAAAGGATATCTTTTGTTAAGAAAAACCCCCAAATATTGCATAGAAATGAAGGATTCTGGTTTTGAGTGCTAATGGGCTAGTTTTGTATGTTTCAGGCCCAATTAGTGTTAATTCTACAAGCAAAAAGAATAAAGAAAAAATTGGGCCAATCCTTCCTTGATCAGAAGCCTAACATGAAGAAAGAAAGAAGCAAATTGGAGAGAAGCCAAATCAGAATTGAAGAAAAGAAGAAAAGAAAAGAATGGGCTAGATGAAACAAAACTAACCAGTGGCCCAAGAAAGAAAAGAAAGAAAAGAAGGGAAACAAAAGAGAAATTCAGAATCGTGAAGAAAGAGCTGAAAGAAAAAAACCCTAGCACACAGACCGTTCAAGTGAACCCATCTCTATCATACCTCCATCTCAAGCACTCCATCACGGTTCTTTCTTTGAATCGAACCAACAAACCGAAATACCCTCTAATTTTCGCTCAAGACACAGAACCCTAACCCTACTCACGGTTCATTTCTTGATCGAACCAACCACAACACAAACCCTACCCGATTTTTGTGCGGCACAGAAAAATCCAAACAAGTCCCTCAATCGACATGATGAGCTGGAGGTTGTTAGTAGTGGTGGCTGGAGATGCTTTTGTGGTGCGTTGCTAATCGTGCAAGGGACACCCACGATCGAGTGGAGTGAGGAGCATACGTACGTTTTGAGGAGGTGATTTGGGTTCAGCTATAAAGGAGGAGATAAAAACATTTGTAGGACTCTCTCTTTTCCTTTTCTTCGCTGAGTTTATTTTTGCTCTTTGGATATTTTCATTTTACTGTTTTCTGTTAGTATTTTTAGTATTTTTATTTGTAATTTTTTGTAAGCACTACTTCAGGGCTATCTGCTGTTGATAGTTCCTGCGTTTAATTTTTTGTTAGTTATACGTTGTAATTTGCTGTTTTTATTATGGACCTTTGTTGTATGTTAGCTCTTCAACCTGTGATGATGAGCTAACTTTCTTATAGTTGGGTTGAAAGAGTACTCGGAACTCAGTTGTTAATAGTGATGTTTTAAAGTTTACAGTGTTGATTCCAGTTTGTTTACTGTGCGTTTTTATATGCTGAGTTTATTATGTGATGATCACACATAGGCTACTCTAGTGGTGTGAGATTATTGGGAAATAACTCACACTAGACCCCATTGTGAGCACATGGAAAGTTGAGAGAGATCTCTCTCAATGGGTATGGCTCCAGGGATGAAGTTACCCCCATGTAACTTGGGAAAATAGTACTTCAAGGTCCTATGATAACAGTGAGATAGGGATATGTCATCTGTTGTTATTGGAAGAAAACTGTTGTTGGGAAACAATAGTTATTTTAGTATTTTCGTTAAGCTGGAAGCAATAATTATTTTTTGTCAAAGCATCCTAATGGCAAATGAAGAATGGGGAAATTGACACCCAACTTGCTTCCAAATTCTGTTTTCAAAAAAACCATCTTTGTTATCCTTTTGTATTTTCGTCCAAATCTGAGTTAACTCTCTGTTTTTAAAACTTAAAAGAAAAGCATAAAATGTTTACAAGTTTTCCATTTACTTAATTTTACTGTCAGTAAGTAAAGAGTCTTTCACGAACTAAAATCATCATTTTCAAAAAGGAAAAAAGAAACTTTTCTAAAAAATATTTTCAGTATACTTGAGTTAGAATAGCAGTAGCATTTAATTTGATTTTATTTCATTTCTGGTTCTAATTAGAAATTACCAATTTATTTCAAGTTAAAACGTCAAGGTTCTTGTGGGAACGATAACTGGGATTCATAAAAAGCCCTATATTACTTGTTGTCGCGTATACTTGCGCGCATACTTGCATAACTGTTAGCAATGCAACAAGTTTTTGGCGCCGTTGCCGGGGACCAAGGCGTACATGATTAGATTTCTTTGTGTGATTGCTATTTCTGAACTGATTCGTTTTGCTGTTTTTAGTTTAGCTTAATTTGAATTCTGCTTTTGTATTGTGTTAGTAAATATTACTGTAGTCTCTTGAATATTGGTAGCTTAAAATTCTGTTCTGTTCATATTCTGTTTTGCTGCATGCTTTATATATTAATTTTGTCATTTCATTTTCTAGTTTATTGTTTTATAGTTGTTACTTTGTTTCTAATTTTTTTTTTTTAGTTTCAGTTTTTATTATTATTATTATTAGTTTCATTCTGTTAGTTTGGATATATTGTTACTGCTCTATAAATCTGTTTGGTTGTGGATACTGTTGCTGCTGCAATTTGGGACTTTTCTGTTTGGCAGGTTGCTGTTAATTTTTTTTTTTTAAAAAAAACTGAATAGTAATCTAAGTTGTTTTAGCTAGTCAGGTTTGCTTGTTTTAGTTAAAAAGGGTGCATGAGTGCAACTCCACACCCGTTCTTAGATTCTTTTGATCCAGAACCTGAAAGGACCTTTAGAGTTAGGAGACGAACCCATAGAGCAAATAGGCAGATCCTACTTCCAGATTTTGAAGAAATGGAGGATTTAGAAAATGTAAATGGGAATGATGGGGTAGGAGGACCTGCAAGGATAGAGAACCCACCAATAATAGATGACAATGATAGGTCCATGATGGACTTCATCATACCTGTTTTGGATGAGTTAGACCCAAGTATTGCCCAACCTGTTAATGGAGTGCCCTTTAAGTTAGAACCGGTGATGTTCACCATGCTCCAAAATATGGGGCAGTTTCATGGTCTGTTGATGGAAGACCCACACAAGCACCTTAGAAACTTCATAGAAGTGGCCAACACTTTTAGGAATCCTAATATCTCGGATGATGTGCTGAGATTGAAGCTCTTCCCTCATTCACTGGCTGATAAAGCCAAAGAGTGGTTGAACTCCCTTCCATCCAACTCCATAACTAATTGGCACACACTAGCTGAAAAATTTATCATGAAATTTTTCCCATCCAACAAGATAGTGCAAACTAGATGTGATATCACCAACTTCATGCAGAAAGATGGTGAGACCTTAGTGGATGTGTGAGAGAGGTTTAAAATTCTTCTTAAGCAATGCCCCAATCATGGTTTGCCCTCTTGGGCAGTGTTACAGACCCTTTACAATAGCCTGAATACTCAAAACAGAGCCTTAGCAAATTCTGCTGCTAATGGCATGTTTATGTCCATGTCCTTTAATCAAGCTCATGAGTTGTTGGAACAAATGACTCAAAATTATGCCCAATGGCCTGAAGAAAGAAATCAGTTAAGGAGAGTGGCGGGTTTGCATGAGGTAGATCCAAGGACAAGCCATTGAGGCAAGATTGTCTCAACCTCAAGTTCCAATACCTACACCTCAAGTCCCACCCCAACCTCAAGTCAACGCTGTGAACACAGGTGAAACTTGTGTTTTATGTGGTGGGCCCCATTTGTTTGGTAGTTTCCCATCTAACCAGAATCTGTGTATTATGTGGGGAACCAAAATAGGAACCAAAATAATTTTTCCACTAATTTTAATCAAGGTTGGAGGCAGAACCAACAGCCTCAATATTTCCAAGGGCAAGGGCAGCAAGCTGGCCCCTCCAATGCCCAAACCAAATCACATTTTCCCTCTCAAAACTACCAACAATCTCCAAGGCAGCAACCGGTTGCTCAATCTAGTGAGATGCCTACCTCTTCAACTTCTTCCTTAGAGGCTTTGTTGAGGGAGTATTTGGTTAAGAATGAAACTAAGAAAAATAGCTTGGAAGTTGTTGTGCAAAGTATTCCTGCATCTTTGAGGAATATAGAATCCCAACTAGGCCATTTAGCAAATACTATAAATAGCAGACCCCCTGGTACCCTGCCTAGTAACACTAAGGAGCCTAGGAGAAATAATGAGCAATGTCATATGATAGAGCTCAGAAATGGCAGATCGGTGCATCAGCCAGAAGCTGTGGTTAGACCTTCCACATTAAAAAAAAGAGAAGAGGAAAAAGTGCAGCAAGAAAAAGAATTAAATTCTGAATTTGCTCAGTCACCTAGAGCCCAAGACAGCCCTCAAGGGGCTGTAAATAGTGATCATCTGCCTACTCTGGTCGAACCAGAAATTCAGACTCAACCAGACCCGTCTTTAGGGACTATTTCCATGGAAAAGTCCATTCCCAAGGGTCAAGCACCCAAGTCAAATGTTGAGACACCAGCTGCCTCAAACATACCCCCACCACCTTTTCCTCAAAGGTTACAAAAAAAGAAGCAAGATAATCAATTTAGGAAATTTTTAGACCTCCTAAAACAGTTGCATGTCAATATTCCATTTGTGGATGCATTAGAACAAATGCCCACTTATGTGAAATTCATGAAAGAAATTCTTTCAAGAAAAAGGAGGCTAGAAGAATTTGAGACTGTTGCTCTTACACAAGAGAGCAGTCAAAATTTGCTTAGCAAGATACCTCCTAAATTAGGAGATCCAGGAAATTTTACAATCTCATGCACCATAGGAGACCATTACATAGGCAGAGCATTGTGTGATTTAGGTGCTAGTATCAATTTAATGCCTCTGAGTGTGTACAAAAAGCTAAAAGTAGGAGAGCCTAATCCCACCACTGTCACTTTACAGTTGGCTGATAGGTCCCTAGTTTATCCTGAAGGGAAAGTAGAGAATGTCTTGGTAAAGGTAGATAAATTCATTCTACCTGCTGACTTTATTATTTTTGACTATGAGGAAGACCGAGAGGTGCCTATAATTTTAGGAAGGGCTTTCTTAGCCACTGGTGGGGCTGTAATAGATGTTAAAGAAGGTGAATTGGCCATGAATGTGATGGTGAGCAAGTAAAATTTAATATTTTGAAGGCCATGAAATACCCGAGACATAGAGGACTGTTCTAGGCTAGATATCATTGACTGTGTGGTCAAAGATAAAATTTTGCATGAGTCTGCACTAGACTCTTTACAAATTTATGGTTTTTGAGGGTCTAGAAATCAGTCAAACTGATTCAGAGGAAGTGGTTAAATGGTTAAATTCCAGATCTGATGTGGTTTGGAAAAATAAAAATTTTGAGTCCTTAGAATTGGCCAAGAGAGGGTTAAAAATTCCCAAACCCTCAATTGAAGAGCCCTCTGTGTTAGAGCTCAAGCCTCTGCCTAATCACCTTAGGTATGCTTACTTAGGAGAAAAAGACAACTTGCTTGTCATAGTGTCCAATCTGCTCACTGTTTTAGAGGAAGAACAGTTGCTGGCTGTTTTAAAAAAATTTAAGAGGGCTATAGGTTGGTCTTTGGCAGACATAAAAGGTATTAACCCGTCCTACTGCACGCATAAAATCCTTTTTTACTGACCCAACCAGCAGCTCTAGAGAGTAACAAAGGAGACTTAACCCAATTATGAAAGAGGTAGTAAAAAAGAAAATTATTAAGTGGCTGGATGCTGGGATCATATATCCCGTTTCTGACAGTAACTGGGTCAGCCCAGTGCAGTGTGTTCCTAAAAAGGGTGGGATCACTGTTGTGAAAAATGAAAAAAAATAATTAATACCCACTAGGACTGCCACTGGTTGGAGGATCTGTATGGATTACAGAAAACTCAACAAAGCCACTAGGAAGGACCATTTCCCCTTGCTTTTTATTGACCAGATGTTGGATAGATTGGCTGGTAGGGAGTTTTACTGTTTTCTAGATGGCTATTCAGGTTATAATCAAATAGCCTTTGCCCCTGAGGACCAGCCAAAGACCACATTTACTTGTTCCTATGGCATCTTTGCATTTAGGAGAATGCCCTTTGGGTTGTGCAGTGCACCAGCCACCTTTCAAAGGTGCATGATGGCTATTTTTATTGATATGATAGAGCAGTTTGTGGAAGTCTTCATGGATGACTTCAGTGTTTTTGGGGACTCTTATGATGAGTGCTTAAAAATTTTGGGGAGAGTGCTTGAGAGATGTGAGGAGACAAACCTAGTCCTAAATCTGGAGAAGTGTCACTTTATGGTGAGGGAAGGCATTGTGCTAGGACATAGGATCTCTAAAGCGGGGTTAGAGGTTGATACAGCCAAGATAGATCAAATTGAGAAATTGCCACCCCCTGTTAACATAAAGGGAATAAGGTCTTTCCTTGGGCATGCTGGTTTTTATAGGAGGTTTATAAAAGATTTTTCAAAAACTTTTAAGCCTCTTAGTCATTTGCTTGAAATCAACACCCCTTTCCATTTTGATGAGGCTTGTCTTAAAGCCTTTGAGGAGCTAAAACATAAATTGATTTCTGCTCCCATTATAATAGCTCCTGACTGGTCACTGCCATTTGAGTTAATGTGTGATGCAAGTGATTGGGCAGTGAGGGCTGTGTTAGGACAAAGAAAAAATAGAGTTTTTCACTCTATTTATTCTGCCAGCCGAACCTTAAATGGAGCCCAATTAAATTACACAGTGACTGAAAAGGAACTGTTGACTGTGGTGTTTGCCTTTGACAAATTCAGATCATATTTGGTAGGCACCAAGGTCATTGTGTATACTGACCATTCAGCCATAAAATATTTGGTGGAAAAGAAGGATTCAAAGCCTAGGTTAATTAGATGGGTTCTTCTCCTTCAAGAGTTTGATACGGAGATTAAGGATAGGAAAGGAACCGAAAATTAAGTGGCTGACCACTTGTCTAGGCTTAATGAAGGGCAGCAAGATGAAAAAGTGGTTGAGCAAGCCATTAGAGAAACCTTCCCTGATGAGCAACTATTTTTAGTTGCCACTGACACAACCCCATGGTATGCTGACATAGCTAATTATTTAGTTAGTGGGGAGTTGCCTAAGGAGTTAAGTTATCAACAAAAGAAAAAGTTGATACATGACAGTAGGTTTTACCTATGGGATGAACCTTACATGTTTAAAAAATGTGCTGACCAAATCATTAGGAGATGTATTTTAGAGGAAGAAAAAAAGGAAATCCTTAGGCAATGCCATTGGTGGCATAAGGACAGCAGCAAAGGTGTTGCAGTCCGGTCTTTATTGGCCAACTATGTTTAAGGATGCAAATTCTTATGTTCATAAGTGTGATAGGTGCCAAAGACTTGGCAACATTTCTGGAAGGCATGAAATGCCTTTGAAACCTATTCTGGAGATTGAACTCTTTGATGTATGGGGCATAGATTTTATGGGCCCCTTTCCACCTTCTTTTGGAAACCAATATATATTGGTTGCTATAGATTATGTTTCCAAATGGGTGGAGGCTGCTTCCTTACCCACAAATGATTCAAAGGTGGTAATTAAATTCTTGAAAAAAAATATTTTTACCCGATTTGGAACTCCAAGAGCTATTATAAGTGATGGAGGTAAGCATTTTGCTAGTAGACAATTTGAAGCTCTTTTAGCTAAATATGGAGTTAAGCATAAAGTTTCTACTGCTTACCATCCACAAACAAGTGGGCAGGTGGAAGTCACAAATAGAGAAGTTAAAAGAATTTTAGAGAAAGTTGTGAATCCTTCAAGGAAGGATTGGTCCCTTAAATTAGATGATTCTTTGTGGGCCTATACGACAGCTTATAGAACACCTTTAGGTTGCTCTCCTTACAAGCCGATTTTTGGTAAAAATTGCCACCTACCCTTAGAGCTTGAGTATAAGGCATATTGGGCTACCACACAACTGAATGTTGATGCCACTGCTTCAGGAGAAAAGAGGCTTCTCCAACTTAATGAAATGGATGAATTTAGATTAAATGCTTATGAAAATGCCAAGTTGTATAAAGAACAAATGAAGAGATGGCATGATAAGCAAATTTTGGATAGGAAGTTTGCAGTGGGGGAACAGGTCCTGCTTTTTAATTCTAGATTAAAATTCTTCCTGGAAAGTTGAAATCTAGATGGTCTGATCCATTTAAGGTCACTAAGGTACATCTTCATGGAGCTGTAGACATTTTGAGTGAGAAAGATGGTAGGAAATTCACTGTTAATGGGCAAAGATTAAAACATTATTTTGGAGAGTCCATAGAGAGAGCAGTTATTTCCATCTCTCTTTGTGACCATTCTAGAGTGTAAAAACAAACACAGTGACAAAAGTCTAGCTTAAGACTTTAAAATTAGCATGTTTTCTTTTGTTTGAATTATTTTATTTCTTTCTTTGTTGTTCTGAGTTTGTTGATATTTTTTTTTTTTTTTAGTTTCCAGTTAAAAAAAAAATATTGTGAAAATAAAATAGTTGTTACTGACACTCTTATTTCTTTTGTTTTAGGTGTTAGTGAATTCTTTTTGCTGATTTCTGGAAGAAGATCCAAAGTAAGTTTGGGGGAGTGGCCTGAGTATCAACTTGGTGTTATTATTGCTATTTTATTTCTGTTTTTGTAGTTTCAATTCTCTGTTTTTAATCTCTCTTTTTTAGTTCTTTGCATCATGGTTAGAAAGCATATTTTGCGTAGTGGAGGACCCCACAGTCCAAAGCTCACCCCACACACACCTAATCCCGAGAGTTTTTCCCTCTCTTCTTTTACATGTGAAAAAGCCATAGAGAGGTTTGAAAAAACTATGCTTGCCAGAGACCCCACTCCTGACAAGGGATTTGAGGAAAATGCCCCTTATCCCGAATATGTCCATGAGGTAGTTCGAACCCAGCATTGGGAAAATTTCTACCTGCACCCTAAGGAGAATGCAAATGTCAGTGTTGTGAGGGAGTTTTATGCTGAAATTCTGGATAAAAGTCAGACTGCAGTGAGTGTTAGAGGGCAAGATGGTATGTTAGATTATGAAAAAAAGTCTATATAATATCTACGTTTTAAGGTCAAAGGACTTTTGCGTAAGATGGTATGTTAGAGAAATATAATATAAATCATTTAAAGTCCATCACTCACGAGTTTAAACGATTGATTGAGGTTATATTAATGGTTTCATATTTCTCTAATACGTCCCTTCACACAAGAGCTCATTCAATGTGAACGGTAGATTATGCATTAAGCCCAGTTTATTTATGTTAAGAAACTCTATAATATTTAATTATTTTATTAATAGAATAAGAATGATGATGATCGAACTCATGATCACTTATTTACTCTAATACCATATAAAAAATCAATCTAACCAAAAAAATCTAAGCTCGAGGTCCATTATTAATTTTTATATCATATCTCTTGTATCAATAAGAGGAAATTAAGTATTCTCAGACTAAAAGCATACTATACTAAAAAAAAAAGTATGATATGCTGCAAACTGAAATATCCAAATAGAGCTTAGTTGCCACCACCAATGGGCATGGCCAAAATGGCATTGGTTACAAGTGTATTCATAACATTAATTATGATGTAGATGGCTCCGTATTGAAAGGTAAGCCATGCACACAACAACGAGGCCATGGCCCATGAGCACGATCAAGTATCAACCCATTATCCTCTGTTGTTACATAGATCTCGCCCACACAGTATTTTGGCACGAGTTTCTTTATATAAAAAGATGTGCACGGGAAATAGCCTCATATTTTGTTTCTGCTGCCCATCCGATTTTGTATCTTTTAGCGTATAAGCCAAAGATTCCTACGTCTTCTTTTCCTTCCACTGAATTATATTATCGCTTCCGTGGCCACCTAGCCAGTCTGACAATTTGTTTGTCTTACGCCATTCTTAATAGATCAACAACATCATAATATCAACAGTATCTTTTATAGTAAATGAATCCAAATAAAAAGTACAGAAAAGTAAAATAAAAAATAAGTTTTTTTTGTAAGAAAATAAAATAAAATAAAAAGGAATATAAATAATACTAAAAATAAAAGCATAACAAAAAATAACATAATTATATGTTCTTTGAAAAGATAAATAGTTTTCCTTAGTTATATCACTTATTGAGCGGTCTCTGCCCCTTCCTTGTCTGTATTTCTTTAGATTTTTTTTTCACTTTAATAGAATTGTTATTCTAATTGAATTTTTGAGATAATTTGAAAATGGTATTTAATTATTACAGATGTTTTAACTTTTCCTTGAATCTTTGGGTTTAGATATTACTTGTTCCAGGATTTTATTTTTAATTTTAAAAAAAGGCTAAACCTTTTTTATTGTTGGCATTTCTGCTTGTTTTGAAAATATGTTGGTCTGCTTTTAAATTCCTTTGAGTTTCAAAAAATAAAATAGAATAATCGAATTATCTTAAAAGTACTAAAAATATTTTTCGCTTAGCTTATAAACAAAAAATCCCAAACAAATATTTCCAAAAAAAAAAAAAAAATCCCAAACAAAATGCGAGACAATTTCTTTTGCAACACTCAACGATATGCTTCTCCGTCGGATAAAATCAATTCTCATGCCAACCTGTATAACATTTTATAATATTACGTACATTTTATACTATGCATGTGCTCATTTTGGCAATTTTATCTTGAGCAGTGTTTTAAAATCTCACCCCACCCTCCGGTTGATCCAGGTCAACCCTGACCCCTTCCCTCTGAGAGTTGGGGTAACAAGTTAGACTCTATATACACATCGACCCTCTGACCCCTGAAACTCAGCCGGATTTCAGTGACTCTCGGGTCAGAGGGGTCGAAGGGGATCATTGCATGTTTTCTTTTTCTTTTTTTAAATTCCATGAAACAACATCGTTTTATTTTTAAAAAAATAAAATAAAAATACTTGCAAACCTAAATCTTATCGTTCTATTCTCTCCCAGCGACCTAAACGTCTTCAATCTTCACCTCGCTGCCATAAATCTTCTAGAAAGGGTAAAAATTTACCCATTCAAATGAAATCTTTATGGTCGTCGATGAAAAACAAAAACTCATTCTTACATCTTTAAATTTTTCTTTGTTAGAGACCTTCTCAAAAGAGGCAGAACCGGATCAGCGTAGTGATCCCATTAACTTGTGGTTGTAATTAGTGAATTATGTTAAGTATATTTTGAATCTTTGATGATTGGTGGTTTATTTTTTAATATTTTCATATAGAATATATATATTTATATTTTTTTAATATATAAAACCGAATCAACGTAGTGACCCTGTGACCCCCCGGTTGAACCTATGACCCCTGACCTCGGCCGGGTCGATGGCCGGACCGGGTTTTTAAAAACTGCTTTTAAGAGCAATTTTACTTTATCTTATCTAAATAAAAGCAATTCTTCTAAATTAACTTTTAAAATATCATTTTCAAACATAAAATCAATTATTTTAACATTATTTTTTTTAAAATAAACTTCATTAAAATCTAATAATAAACAATGACATCTCCAATGATTGGCAATAACCCCAGCACAAGAGTTCCGAGTCTTACACACATAGTTTCAACAACTTAAACTTGATCCGATATCAACCAACAAGGGTACTTACATGGCTTTGATATAATACATATTGAGTACTAGCATATAGCTGAACTAGAAAGGAGCAAAGCCCTGTTGTAGCAAATTATACATCACTTGATTCTCATCCAAAGTGGATGCAATATTCACACCTTCAAAGATTCTAACGTGTATGAGCATTTTTTTTTTATACATAAAAGTTCAGGAGGCATACTACAATTAGTGGATGCCCACTAATGAGATCAGCAGGAGGAATAGAATTCAAGAACATTTCATTGAGGCAGCTTGTACTACCAATTGAGCCAACCCTCCTTAATTTACAAAACTTAATTTACATAAAAATACATTCTAACTACTTGAATGAATTGAAGAAGGTAACTGTGTCATTGAGGGCCTGGATGAAGTTGTCAACATCCTCCTTAGTATTATAGAAATAGAGACTAGCGCGTGCACTTGAACTAACTCCTATATAGCGATGGAGGGGTTGGGCACAATGGTGACCTGATCTGATAGCCACTCCATGCTGAAATGATACATTATAAATTGCAATTCAAGAAAGGAAATTTTCCAAACATGTTCAAGAGCTATCCCAATTTCTACCACAAAATTCAGGCTTATTGACAATTGAATTATATAGCCTAAGGTGTCCAAGACCACGAAAATGCACATATATGGGGATAGTCTTTTATCCTCTTACCTGTTGGTCCAGAAATGTTGCAAGATCAGTAGGGTGTATATTCTCAACATTGAAAGAACATAGAGCAGCTCTTTGGACTTTTTCTGAAGGCACTGGCCCATAGATGCGAATATTTGGGATTGAAAGAAGCTTCTCATACAGATATCTACCCAGCTCCACCTATGAAGACGTTTCACACAAACAGTAACTTACTCTTCACAGAATATGAATATAATTTATATCACTGCAATGAAAAGCATAACAAAATTTTTTATTGATGAGCAAACAAAATTATTGGCTTATGCAAGCATGTTAGCTCTGACATTAATAGTTTCCATCACTACTGGCAATCATAAAATAGATTGGTACAACTTTTTTTCTCGAGAGATAATAAGTTAGCTCCTAGTGAGATATATTACACAATGCTATAACAAGTAATTCAGTGAATATACCAATGTGATAGATGATTGATTGAGTTAGTTGAAGATCGGTAATTTAGTTTGTGATTTTGATTATTTTAATAATATTGAAGGATACGGAGGCAAGGATAGATTTGCTTCAAATATGATGCAAATGAGGTTGAGGCATTAAATCATGAAAATTATGATGATAAGGAAAAGAGGTATGTGAAGAAGTAAAACAATGAGGATGACAAAAAATGAAACTCTTTATCAAGTTGAGCAAGACCTTTAGCTTTCGCTTTTGCATATTATATTGTTATTCTTATCTACAGATCATGTTAAACGTTGCTAGTACACTGAATTCCAGTCTGTAGCAAGTATCAAGTTTATCTACAAGCTCTTTTGGTATTTAAACACTACATACTACTTGAACATACAGTTAAGCTATAAAATTATTTATGACTGATTTCAGTGTTTAATTTGAGCTATAATGTTTATATGTCGTGTATTTTGTAGTATGTGTAGAATGTTTTCTTTTCCCAGTCTACTTTTACAGCTCCCTAGGTATCACATTCTGACAAGTTTCCTTTTAGTTAAACCTGAATGCAAAAATAGACTAAGAGATGGATGGGTCTAGATCATATTTTAATTTTGGAAGTGAATCAATTGCATCAATGTGCAAATCAGTACATTAAGTGCAGGGTTTTACTACTATTCCATGGTTAAGCAAATTGGGATCCCAAATACTCAAAGATGATACTTGCGAAGAAGAAAAAGCTACAGCATCTATTAAGGGTATGGCATTTGAGCAGAACAAGGCTTCTGTGTTTTGGATAAACACAAGAAGAAAATGGCACCACATGTATATGTATCATTACTACTGTTGCACTAATGGGTTCTGAGCATAACACAATGGGACACTTGACAATGGAGAGAGAGGATTCAATTGGAGGATGGATACAAGGAGATTGAGAAGGTAGTGACCTGGAAGAAGGTATTTGGTGAGGAAAGGAGATGGAGGAGCAGATCATCGAAGTTATACATTGTTTCTTTCTTTTCTTTTTTTCCGTAATTTCTCTTTTTTTGAGTGTATCTTCACCTTCTTTCTCTACTGATCTGTCCTCCATATCAGTAGTAGAAGAAGAGACTTGGTGTTAATATAAATAAACGAGCTATACTTCCAGTACCTTATCACAAACTTCTTAAATAGGTGTCTATACAAGATTGGATAATAACAAAAAAGAGTTTCACATTGACAGACTGACAGAGCATCTAAATTAAACTCCAAAAGTTATGTATCACTTTTTCTCTGAATTGTAATATTTCATTATAAGTTATAAGATTGAAGCTCCACTCACCTCGTAATCATGTATGGTTTGCATACCAATCCCAGATAAGTAATCAATTGCTGCTCCTAAACCAATTGCTTCCCCAATAGCTGGCGTTCCAGCCTCAAATCTAGGGCAGTCAAAATGCCTCAAATAATAAGATACAAGAAACTAATGTATTCCACCGTAGTAGAGAAAAATACTGCTATGGGATGGATGAAAATGATCCAGGCATGAGACCAGACATTACTAATGGTTATATCTAAAGTTGGAGGTAAATAAACCATCAGATATCAGACCTGAGATAAGAAACTTCTCTATCACTTGAGTGCCATTAATAACTATCACTTAAATGGTTGACCTAATCATTTTTCAGGTTAAAGAATTTTATGGGTTTCAAAACATCAATGACTTGCATGGTAACACCAAATCATAATGGTTTAGCATCAGTAGCCAGGCAAAGTAAAAAAAAATTATTAAAAAGGGCAAGCAAATGAGATGAAGGAGAAACTTATAGAAAGCACAGATGCGAATATCACTAGACAAAATTTGAAATCTCTTCCTAACCTAATAATCTCTTCTAAATATTTTCTGTATGTCCATTTTCAATTTTCAAATTTGAATCCAATGTGCATCACTTGTTACCTTCTTTACAAATGAATTCTCCAGGAGATTCCAATGCTTAGACACAGATGATAATTTGAAGCTAACTTGCTAGAAAATTGAAAAGTCAAAGTAAATCTGGGAGTAGAAGCGAGTAAATTTTAAATTCATATGAGAAAAGCAAATATTATGCATGCATTAATGCAAATTAGTAAAGCCACAAATCCTCTTCTGCTTTCTTTGGTACATTGTGAATCAAACATGATGTCTACCCACACCAGTGTAGATTATCTATTAAGAAAAGCCTGAGTCCGAGTTAAAGCAAAAGCAAGTTCACGAACCTAGATGGAGGTTCAGCATAACTTGAATGATCAAGATACACATCAGAAATCATTTCACCACCACCTAAAACAAGTAAAGGCAGAGGTTGCCAGGAATACATTAGCTTCTAAAGACAATCTTATTAACATGGTGCTAAAACAAATAAGAACATTTATTTTATTTTATTGCATCTTAGTTCGTTGTTTGTATTTGATGGGGAGATGTAATTAAAGTACCATGTCTAATAATGTTACGCATAAGAATAGACCAGCTGTTTGAAGGGTGTATTCTAGAAGAAATATTCCTAAAAGTTAGTTAGTGAGTGTGTCAAACGGGGTATATAGGGAGAAGGGTATGTGTTATGAAGAGAGAAGGGGGGGGGGAAGAAAGAAATGAGAAAGTTAGAACTTACCTAAAAATGGAGGCATGGAAGACAAGAGGTCTATTTTAGCATATAAGAATCCAATGCCTGTAGGCCCACACATCTGAAACACATGTTTGGCAAATTATTAAGTTGTCTGGTAAAATTACAATTCAAAAATATGTAAACAACCCTACCTTGTGAGAAGAAGCAACAAGAAAATCAACATTAAGGCTCTGAACATCAACCACCATGTGTGGAACACTCTGACAGGCATCTACAAGCACTTTTGCTCCAACATCATGCGCCCAATGTGCAATATCTTTAATAGGAAGGACAGAAGCTACAGAAAAGCAGAGTACAAATATATGAAAACTCATACATTTCAGCAACAAAATCTAAAAGTGAGTAACAGTACTATCATTGTGGAAAAGAAGAGTTCAAAGATTTAAAGAGCAGGGAAAGAGGTCTTAATTGGGGGGCTGTTGTGATAATTCACATCGGAAGAAATTAATCATTCAAAGAGAAAATTAGGTTTACATTAAAGGTGGACAACATTTGACCTTCAAGGTCAGTTTGCAGATCAATATAACTTCAATGTGGGCTCTTCAATGATCTAGTTTTGAGGGCTTTGTAACCTAGTGACCTTTTTGTGAAACAATGAGGGATTTTATGAAGCTTCAAATTAACCAGCAGATCATCAATGTTGAAAAACTATAAAATTAACCCAGAAGGCACATGATCTTCGATAGCATAAATTCAATGTATCATTCAAAAAATTATTATAATCAAAGTGAAGAATCATGATGAGAAACATACCAAGCATGTTTGAAACATGATGGACAACAACTATTTTGGTCTTCCTTGAGATCATTTCTTTCAATTTGTCTACATCTGGAATTTCATCTTGGTTTAAATTCACAAATTTCAAAACAGCCCCAACTTTTTGAGCGACTAGTTGCCAAGGAACAATTGCACTGTGATGTTCAGCAATGGTAAGTAAGATCTGCGATAATATATGAAACTGAAGATTTTACAAGGACATAATTTGGAGATAATGGCAGTATAAACAAAAATCATTATGCTAAATCTAGACAAATAGAATTAAGTGATTAAAAAAACCCCAAGTCTCCTCTTGGTATTTAAATTTCTATTTTAAAATTACTTTTAATGAATTCAAATTAAACTTAATACTATCTCCAAATCTTAAAACAATGCACAAAATAATCTCAGATTTAGTTGAACAATTAAGTGAGTTGAGGTTCATCAGAATATTAATCTAGAATGAAATACCTCGTCTTCTGGTTTTAAATTTGACAAACCCCAAGAATAAGCCACTAGATTGATAGCTTCAGTAGCATTTTTTGTGAAAACAATTTCTCTAGAATCAGAAGCATTTAAAAAAGCTGCAACCTTCCTTCTAGCCGATTCATACTCGTCTGTGGCCTTTGCACTACATCAATAAAAAATTATGCAAGATAAAACACTTTACCAACACACACATACACCTCCCAATAAATGCCAGAAAGGAAGAAGGAAATTAAAGTAATATGTTAGGGAGAGTCTTGAAACAGTGGTAAGGTTGTGCTTTTGTGACCGGAAGGTCATAGGTTCAACACACACACACGCACACACACCTCCCAATAAATGCCAGAAAGGAAGAAGGAAATTAAAGTAATATGTTAGGAAGAGTCTTGAAACAGTGGTAAGGTTGTGCTTTTGTGACCGGAAGGTCATAGGTTCGAGTCTAGAAATACCCTCTTGCAAAAATACAAGAATAAGACTGCATACAACCGACCCTCACTCCTACCCTGACAATGTTGGGGAGGAAAGCATTATGTACCAAGGTTTGCCATTTGCCTCCAAATTATATATGTAATTCCAAATATTACACAGCAAGTACCTCAAGAAATGTATGCCCCGATGCACATTCGAATTGTAAGCTTCATAATAGTTTTGCAACGCCTTCAAAACAATGGTGGGCTTCTGAGAAGTTGCTGCATTGTCCAAGTAAACAAGTTTTGAGCCATTTACTTCCTGTGGAGTGAGTTAAAGTGTCATAAATTTATATTATGTACCAGAACAACATACCAAATGCCTTTATATCCATGAAGAAAAACATTAGAACAACGTTTTGTGAGGTATATGCATAACGAAAATTGGGGAATGAATAACCATATCTTATAAAAACCAATTCTCAGCAACAGCATTACTATGTCCATCCATCAAGTAGCATTAAATTTGTAACATGATAATCAAATTGAAAATTTAAACCCCAGTTATCCGAACACTTCTAAACATTCACAAGCTATACTTTAGGAAAATAAAATTGAGGATAAGATAAGAAAATAGACACCTGGTGAAGTATAGGGAAATGGGGTCGGGTGGAGTGACCCAAAGAAGGGGAACCAAGAGTAGGTTCAACTACTGCTTCATTGACAGTTGATGCACAAACAGAGAGAGAAGATAAACGACGGAACCTAAATCTGACATATGATGAGCTCCTAGTAGTGATTGAGCAGCAATGGCTGGGGCTTGGAAATTTGAAAGATGGAAGTTTTGGCAGCAAAACTTCCATTACTGACCTCCCAAATAAGAGATTGCAATACCGTGGTTGTTTATCTGAGAAAACGTTGAATATTTTGCAGCAAAATAAAAAAAAAGGTTAGAGTTACTTATGTTATAGAATCACAATCACAATTCACAAAAAAGTAATCATTCAACAAACACTGCACTAGAAAATTCAATTCAACCCAAGTCCAAAATTCACATAATTGGCATAGATAGTCCACGAATCTAAAAGTTGCAAAGTGCAAAACTATTCATGAAACAAACGAAAACACTGTTTACATATCCAAGAACAAGGTTCCAGTCTACAATGAAAATCCAAAGAACACGAATTAATTACCAAAAAAAAAAAAGTCGAAAACTTCAACAAAAAGGGTCACAGTATCTATCTCTTTCAATGAACCTGTTTCAGAAGAAGAAGAAGAAGAAGAAAATCCCTTGCAGTCACCGTTGTACTTCTCCTTTCTGAGTAAGGGTGGCTCCGCAGAGTATTGGATATAAGTGAGGAACGAAGAAGAAGAAAATGAAGGTCTCAAATTTAATTATTTATTATCTATATTTTATTGAAAGTAAGGATATTGTAATAATCAGTGATATTATCGATTACTATCAATCAATTCACAGTTATATTATTAAATATGGATAATCATAATTATACAAAGATGAAAATAAATATAATTATTGGATCAACATAATTGATTTAACAATAATATTAATTAGTAATAACATTTGTAGTAACATCATAACACTGATTGATTATTACAATATTTTATCAGTTTATTGCATCAGTAACTCTTTTAACTATTTTTTTTTTCAGATATATAAAATTACACTTTGATTTCCTATTACATGTCTTATAAATTATAATCTCAATATTATAATTTAGGATTTCCCAGATTATTTTTATTTTCTAACAATTAATAATTATTAATTCAAGTGACAAAGAATGAATTTCCGTAATCAAAATTTTCGAGTTCAAGTTATGACGGTGTTAAATTGCTATCAATAATCAACCGCCTTTTGAATAAGCGATGAGAAGCTTATTATTTTAATTAAAGATTTGCTTTCGGAATGAAAAATTAATTTTGAAAGAGTTGTTTCTTTTTTTTTTTGTATAATGAAAGAGTTGTTTCTTATAATAGATTCGACCATGTTCGAGCTGGATTAATTGACCAATAGATAAATCGTTGGATATATATAAAAAAAAAAATCCAATAACTTTTCGTTGATAAAGCTTAATTTTATCAATTCAGAATTGTTTAGATTATACCATAAAATAGTTATTCTAAAAGAATAGGTTGTAGGAATAATGTGACCCTTTTTTCATAATTTTAGGGACCAATTTGATCTTTTTCCCAAGATCTTACCTCCTGAAGCATGGAAAAAGGAGACAGCTTATTTTATAGCTGCTGATGGCAAATCATTCAGAACCAATCTGATTACTAAACATCCTATAGGAATCCGATTTTTCCCTGAATGTGTTATCTGGACAAATGTGATTGGAACTCCCCTACCGGATAAAGACATTTTGATACAAGATTATACTAGCAAAGGAACAAGAAAGAAAAACTGAAGAAGAGATCTCAAAGATCACTGCCATTTTCATTATTCACAGACCTTACTGGCAAAGGCCCGATGGAATTCTTTGGTCTCAGAATATTGCATACCTTTGGGGATAAAAGGATTTCGTAAATATTGCCAGGACGAAAAAAGTGTTTACTTTAATTGTAATTTAAAAATTAGTTGTTTGAGAGATGATTTTATTTAGAATGTTATAAAATATAATAACGATAATAAAATTATAAAAAAAAAAAAGCAATAGCCGTACAATATAAGGAAGAGTTAAACATTTTACCAAAAGGGAAAAAAGAAAACGGGGAATGCGGTGGTCGTCGTGTATTTCGGTGTTTCGACCTTGGAAGAAGAGGAAAAGGAAGACATGTTGCTGCATGTGTTACTAATTTTTATCCATTTATTTTACGGTGCTTTAATCAAATATAAAGGTTTTAATTATAAAAGAAAAAAGAAAAGAAAGTGAATTCAACAAATAACAAAACTCATTTAATTAAAGGTTTGGTGTTCGTACTTGTGCTGGCACTAGTGGTGACAAGGTTTTGTGTTATCTATGGTTTGAGAAGTTTTTTTTCTACTCATTTCATATAATATTATTACTATCTTTATTTTCTCTCTGGAAGAAACTCGAAGAGTTTTCTTTAAGCTGCTACCATCGGGCAGGGAGCCTGTCATCGTAGATGTAGATGACACAGTATTTGGCTCTGATACTAAGTGACCGGGAGACTCACAATTCTTAAGGAACCATGAATTAGTCATCCATTTATCTGAGCATTTCACGGCTCCTCTTAGCCTCTTAACTCTTTAATTGGAGACTATCATCCATGAATCCTTAAAGATGAGAGGACCGTAAGACTGGATTATTACAGAGTCAGTTTTCTGATACACAGGATCTCTTTACAGGGCAAGTGTAGAGCATACTAATTTTCTCATCGTGAGATTAATAATTATAGTAAAGACATTATACTAAGTTTTCGGAGAGAAAGAAGAACTCTTTAGAAACTCATAGGGAAACACACAAGCTTTTATTTCATTCAAACTCAATCTGAGGATACAAGCACACACGAGGTTTCCTTTTATAGGCAAGGAACCCATAATAACTACAAGTATAGTAAAGAACACCTCACCAAACATAATTATACAATAAGACAATCAACTTTTCTAAAAGTTGAATTATTAGTGCACACTTTATTTTACAACCACACACGTGTCCCTCATCCATCATGTTCCGTTGTTTAAAGTGGGATAAAAAATTATGCTCTTCCCCCGTCCCATTTGGCAGGTGGGACAGATTCGCCCACTAGTCCAAACTTATTTGATATTGACTCGCTCAGGTCATTAACTCATCAAAAAATGAGTCAGCTCGTCTCGCTCTGCTTTTAAGAGTGGACTATAAAACTCAGCTCGCCTCACCCCGTCCTGTTCGACAGGCGTGGCAAGTCGGTCTGTTGAGCCAAGCCCATTTTGCCAGCCCTAGCTAGCAGACCCTTTTTTTGGCCCAATTTACGGGTGCAATATCAAAGTCTATACTTAGAACCTTCTAGAGGGCACCCATGATGAGCTATAGAGCTCATTACTAGGGTTTTTCCTTTATCCCACACTAGTGCCCACTATACACTGACATTAGGGCAACATGTCTTGTTATGACAAGACAAAGCTAAGTAGCAGCAAAGACATTCTCTCTCCCATGTTTAGAGGAGGACTTCCTCTCTAAATATTCCCTTACCACATGATCTTCTTCTATATTCAACTTACATGTTGTTACTTTGCTATTATTTGAGTCACTTTAGCCTCTCCTACACACTCCCCTTTTAGAGTATACATGCCTTACACCACCATAAGAAGCTTCACTAATAATTTGGTCTCTACTATTACCACTATAAGTATCTCTAGATAAACATACTTCACTCTCGTTGGATACATTTATGAACCACTGACGGTTTAATACTTTTAAAAAATATAGAATTGTGTCATCTTAAATAATAGAAAAAGATAAATAATGAAAGAAAAAAGTGAATGGTTTTTTAATTTAAATTTTAAGTAAAAATATTAATTTTAATTAAATGACTATCCTTTAAGAAAACAAACGTTTTTCCTTTAATCAATTGAAAATGGCTATAAAAAACCGTAATATATTTTATTAAGACAGTAATAAAAAAATGGCACTTATACTTATCATCATTTTAAATTTATAATTTTAGTACTTAATTGATTATTGTTGAATCAATTTAAAATCAATAGTTGAATAAGAAAAAAATAATTACCAATGGTGATAAATATAATTTTTTTAAATAAAAAAATAAAAAATAAAAAATGATTTGCATCATCATTCATGTTGTTGTGATAGTTGAAGGAGGAGTGAGGAGTAAGAAGTGAGAGAATGAGAAAGATGGCGTTAGGTGCAGAAAACGTGCCTCCTTTCATCGCTGCTCAGCTGAATCATCTTCTCTCTCATTTCCGTCACACCCTCAAGGCATTTCATTTCACTCTTCTTTCTCTTTCAATCTCCGATTCCTAATAGTAATTGTAATGATAATAATAGTTAATAGGGTTTTGTGTTTTTGCAGGTTGAACAAATGTGGTCTGGTGACAAGTACAATTCTGGTCTCTTTGATCGCTTCACACTTCTCATTCCCTATTGCTTGGACTTCATCAAGTGTATCTATCTATTTTCATATGCTTTCAATTTCAAACCAAACATTAATCGATTAATTGAATGAGGGTTTTGTTTGTTTAATTGATTTAGGGGATATTATATACAACGCGGAGTGTCCTTCAGCTGCGCCTGATGTTATTTTCGGCCCCGAAGACGAAGATTTTCATCCATTTCACATGCCTCTTGTTGAAGGTTCCCAACCTAGTAACTGTTTAACTGATTGGAACTACAAAGACCCTGCACGTCTTTTGATCCTTGTTCAATTTTTGAGGTAATTTAAAAAAAAAAAATTATGGGCATTCGATTAGTTTATTTTCTCTTATTGAGGGTTTCTGTCTTCTTGTTTCGACAGGGATCAATACGTGTTGTATCAGAGGAAGCGTGTGGGAGAAGTTGACGATGATCGCTTGAAATTTGAAATCAGCACTGTCTTGTCCAGGGAGGTATATTTTCATATTTTGCTAATATTCTGAAATTTGAATTTGAATGGTAAATTTCTGTTTCGTTGTTCGTATCTTAATTATGCATTGCACGGTGATTTGAGACGTGGGAAGAGGGTAATGTTGAGAATGGTGTAAACTAAATGCAGTTGGTTTGTATCAGGAGATTTTCTTTGTTGCTTTTTGCTTCTTCGTGTGTCATGTCAATATATGTGGTTCTTGTTTTTCATCTATTTTCATTCTGAGTGTGATGGAGTGGTTGCTCTGAAGTTTACATGGTAGCGGACTTGATAGTGGTGAAGGAAAAATCACAGAGGAAAGAAAGAATTAAGGTCTTGTATAAATTTTATCCAAGAGACGCTGGAGAAAAACCAGTCAGCAATTATATATGGAGATGGAGGAGAACATCTATACTATTGTTATCACCTATGAAGCACCGATACTCCTAATTTTTTTTTCCAACGTATCCGATACGCGTATCGGAAACGTATCGAAAACGTATTGTATCGTATCGACAAATTAACGGTCGTATCGAGAACGTATCGGGAACGTATCGAAAACGCCGTGTCGGAGTCGGTGCTTCATAGGTTATCACAATGATCTAAGCTGGACTGAACTTGATATCAATTTAAGTTTTATTATTCTTTTTCAGTGAATGCTGTGGCAGCAGGACGATATAAATCATTTTTAATTTATTTATCTTATAGGTCTATAATTTTACTGAAAATATAGTTTTTGATTTAGAGCCCAATGGCGTCGAGCTTGGTTCTTGTTGTTTATGTCTTTGATTGTGTAAATAGTTTTGGCTTTATTAGCAAGTTCAGTGTCTGCCCTTCCATCTCTGTGGCTTGAAAAGCACATATCTGGATTTTGGATTATACTCTGTTTAATGGATAGAATTGACCTTTTACTTGATCAAACACATTATCTGACTGCAATTGCTCTGCTGCAGGGAATAGAAATGCATATTAGTTCTGGTGCTGACAAGGTATTTCTTCACAAAAATGTATTAATATTTGTATGATCTACTTGGATGGTTGAGCAAATTAATTTAGCCTTTATACAATATTCTTGACTTCTGTAACTTTACATTTTAGTGTAGTCAGAGGAGGTTAAATTTGCCGTTCCCCTACTGGACATGAACATAAACAAGATGGTGTCAGGTTGTCCATGGAGATATTCCCAGAAGATATACTTACAGGTTGCTTTCTTTTCTCTCTTTAAGGACTTTTTTTTTTTTTTTTTTCTTTCTTTCTTTCTTTCAAACAAATAACTTATGATATGTTAAACCTAGGTTGTATATCCTGTTGGGAGAAAATATTTGTCTACTCCTTCAGCTCCTCGCCTGAAGTTGGTGTCTTCTTCTGAGTTGAAAGCCCTATTTTCCATTGATGATGTCAAGCTACCTTCCTGGTTGGATGGGATGTAAGCTTTTCAAATTTTAAGATTCTATTTGTCCAGTGATGATAGCTATACATGATTGAGATAATAATGTGCTTGCTTCTGTTTTTATTCTATTTTGCTTAGGTGCTTGGCAGAATATCTTCCAAATCTGGAAGAATATCTAGAGAAACAGGTTAGCTGAAAATGTCTTTGCTATGATGTCTATTAGTTTAATATGCACTTTCTAGTGCTTAATGAACATCCTTGGTTTTGTTAAGATTAATATAAATATATTTTGAACTTAGGTCCTTGAGGCTGTTTCATTAATTGATGTTAGAAGGCAATTCATTGAAGCATTGGCCTGTCAGCTTGGAAGGCCGGTTGAAGCTGATCCTGTATCTTCCCTTAACACTTATTCTCAAATTGCTAGGATTTCTTGGCTTTAATATTAATTGCTAATTTCTGATTTCTCTGTTTCTAGGTCTTTTGCAGAAAGGCAAGTTTTCTTTCTGCATCTGGGGTATTCACATTCCTGGTAATATATGATACTCTTTACTCAATACTTGATGTCTGGGTATTTATTGTGACAGAAGCTTGCTGTTGGAAATTGATTAAAATGTTTTCCCCATTGAGTTTAGCACATTATATACTTGATATAACTTATGTGATAACTTCTGTCAGTTAAAAATATAGTTAGTATGTGACTAGGTTAAGGCAGAACTCTATTGTTAGTATGTTTTCCCTTAATCTGACAGAAGTCACAGGACTGGCCAAAAGAGAAAAGATTGAGTAAATTACACTCATTTCCTTGAGGTTTAGAGTAATTACACACGATGTTGTACTTGTATGGTTGAATTTAGTCTTGCCAGTAGTTTTATGTTCCAAGGCTGATGTTGATATCTTGTATAAATCTTTTTTCTTCATGTCATAGGCCCTATTTATCTATGTTTATGCTAGTTAAAGGTTCTGACTATTTTGTTTATTTAGGTACACTTCCAAATTCCAACTCAGTTTCCAAAGCAACAACCGGCTCTTATGCTTCAAAGTTCACAGGTTATATTTGTTTGCAACTTATCTTTGTTTAAAATCTTAAGGTTGAGCATTATTTGCTGGATAGAAATGTAGGTGAGTAGGTGACAGATAAAGAAGCTGGTTAAGTGGTTATAGTACAATTTACTCATGTAGCTTCAAAACGTCAAATGTCTAACACTGATTTCTTTCAATTGCGGGGTTAATGTACAGAAGTCTGGTAACATATGGTTTAGTTTTTATATACCCTTCTGTAGTCTTTTGGTGGACATAATGAGGAAAAGGTCTATACTCTATTAGGTTTCTGTAGCAGTTGATGAATTGATATGTTCAGTTGTCTTATAATCCATGTTTAGATTTTGTTACTTACTAGAGTTTGAACGTGTTCGAAAGATGTAGAACAAAAAATTATTTTGCTCTGTTGCTTCAAAGAACCGTTGTACTTTTAAGTTTGAATCGTTAACATGGAAATGTTCTTTTAACTGACCAGCCAAGTGATTATTCTTCTCTTTATGCAAATTATTTTGTAATGATAATTTTCGAAGCAGGATAGTGGAAACAAATTTATATATTCTTGAGTGAGTTTATCATGGTGTTCAATATATGTTGTTTTCTTCCTGGGCTGTAGTTCACCTTATACCCAGGCTCTTGGATTCAACACCCATGCGAACACCTTACATATCCTCCCTCATATAAGGAGGTTTTACATCTTTTGGCAATATATTTTTTTTTTAAGCTTTTACCGATGCTACCATCTCAGATTGAATGAAGTTCTACCCCAGTGATCTTACCAGTGATGTTCTTTTCATGTTATTTTGTAGCATTTTAATTCACAAATGGCACCACTGAAGTCACGTCTTATGGCTGATTATCCATGGAGTCCGAGATGGGAAACATCACTGATGGCTGAGCGTATTTGGTGAGTGTTTCTGTATTACTTGCTTTATCTTTGCCATTATGCTTTACTATTCTTTCCTTTTTCCAGCATTTTTCAGCTAATATAAATCATTTCTATAGTGAGTTTCTGGTAGATGAGGCCTTGAACTTCAAGAGGCAATGCAGCGAGGGGCAACCCTAACAGTAACAATTGCCAGAGCATGTGCAGCTCAATACTAATGTTGTGGCTATCTCTGAAGTTGTCATTGAAAAATGTGATGTAGGTCTGCTCGGTCAATGCACTTGTTTTTATGTTTGAATGAAGTGCTGTTTAACTTTTTGTTGTATTCGTGACATTACGCTAGTTGTTAGTTCTGTGTATCAAGATGTATCGTGTCGTGTATGTTTTGATGGATAAAAACTATATACATATAAGTGGGTGTATTATCAAAAAGGCATAATTAAATGAAAAATATAAAAGGGTATTTGAATTGTTTTTTTTTTTGTTTTCATTTTTATTGGATATATTATTTTGTTTCTTATTCTCAGAATTTCGTAATGAAGACAGTAAAATGGAATTTTCTTTTTGTTCTCGTTATTTCTTTTAGTGGTGTGCATGGGTTGAATTGAATTGAATTTTTTGAAGAATTGAATAAATTAGTTTAAATGATTCAATTCGAAAATGAAAATTCACTTCAAAACCGGTTTGGTTCGGTTCAAAATTGGTTCGATTCAGTTCGGTTTGAAACCAGTTTGGGTGATTATGTTCTAAAAAAAAAAAAGGAAGAAAATTAAAAAATTAAAAAAATCAAATAATAAAAAATAATTCGATACGATTCGAAAACGATTCGGTTCTTAAACTGATTTTAAAAATCAGTTATTTTAAATGCAGTGTAGTTCAATTTATCGTTCGGTTTGAATATATCTAATTTCTTTCGTAAAATCCTTAAAACAAAAAATAAAATAAAATCAAACTATTTTTAATTATGAGTGAAAATTAATTAATTAGAATGAAAAGGGAAACGAATTAAAAACTATTAAATATATTTTTGAATATTGCCTTCTTGTGACAATAGTTTTCCGACAAAAAATATACTCGTTATTCAAAATATTATTATTAATATGGCCAAATTGCCCATGTAAATATTATGATAGCTCAATACATGAAATTTTATTTACCCTTTCCACATAACAAAATCCCGGAAGGCAGCGGCGTTGAAGAGAAGAAATATGGTTGTATACAATTTCGAAGCTTGTTTTGCTAACACGGTGGCCGAAGCAACAGATTACGCACAGTGCTTAATGTATTTAATTTTATCCTATTTAATCATATTTACGATAATAAGTACATGTGAAATATTTACTTCTCTATATTAAATTAGAATATATTTTTCTAGAAAAATTTAATTTTTTTTATTCTGCTCCCTTCAATAAGTTTCATTCTTAATTTATATTTCAATTTAAATGTAAAATTTTTAAATTAATTATACATATCTTCTTCGTAAATATTTTGCTCTTTTAATTTAACTTTATTACATTTTTATTTTATACTTATTAAATTTTACTTATATATAAAAATACTTGTCAATGCACTAAGTATTTGCTAGTTTTAAATATTCTTAAATGAACTTATTCAAATCCCTTTTAAAGTTCATAAAACTATATTTTTCATTTAAAATTTATAATAAGCTTTCTCAAAAGTCAAAAAGTAACTTAATGCAAAAATAAAATTTTAATATTTTGTTTCCGTGTCCGTTCAAACTTTATTTATTTTATTTTATGCCAAAATTAGGAAGTTACGATAGTAAAATATAAATCATTAAAAAGACAATCATCTAATGGCTTAAGCTTTAAGGTTGAATTTATTCTTTACATTATTTCAGAGCTTCGGTGACAAGAGGTGTAAATAAGTTGAGCTTTGACTTAAATAGCCTAAGCTTGTGTAAAATATTTTAGGTCTAACCTGGTCTGTTAGACTTATATAGACACAAATTATAAGTCTGGTCTGATCTATATTTAAAAAATAAAAGTTTTGCCCTAGGCCTGTTAGTCTGTTTAAACTTATTAAACATTCAATATTTTAAAAAATAATTGAAATAATATTACTTTATTATTCAAAATTATTAAAATAATAATTTTATTTATTTTTTTAAAAATAAATAATATAAAATAGGCTGCCTTGTAGGCCTAGAGACCTGACATATAAAAGAAAGCCTATAACCTATTTTTTAAATAGCCTTTTTTAAAAGTCTAAACCTGCTCTACTTGACTATATTTAATAGGCTGAGCCTAGTTTGATATAAGCTAGGTCGTAGGCCGACCTAACTTATTTACACCCCTAATGACCACGATATCTTGAGCTCAATTCTCAAGGCACCACTTTCTTGAAAAATTAAATAAGCACATTTTTAATAAAAGAAATTGAGCCTATACCGTGTGTGTGGGAAGCGGAAATTTTTAAGGTACAACGGTGGTAACATTTACTCAGTGGGAAGAATCAATCAAACATAGAGAAAAGAAGGTGAAAGTGGGATGAAAAAGAGAAATAAATAAATAAAATCCAAGTGCAATCTTTGAAAGGGAGTCACACATGCTACCGTCGCACATGCTACCGTCGCACCAAAAGTTCGCTCATTAGAAGCAGTGTTGTGAAAGCCAGCCCGACCCGTCCGGGTCAACATGGAACCCAGCGAACTGGTCATCGAACTGGTTCGAGTCAAATATCAGACCGGCCATGTATTGGACTCGGTCAAAACTTGACCAAACTTGGTCAGGTCATGCATTTTTATAAAATAAAATAAAACCAATAACCAAAATTGTTTCATCTTGTCATGATTTTATTTGCTAGTAGTATACTCTTCTATAATGACTTCAAATTTCTACTTCTAATACTGAAGCAATTTGCGGAACAATAAATTAAAAGAATGTGACATATGTCATTTCAATGTAGATGAATTTGAAAAATATGAATTCACAATATCTGGCCATTTGGATATCATTGAGAGGTATGGTACAGGGATTTTGAGGTCCAATTTAAATTGACATATTAATAGCGTGCATTTTAATTTATTTGTGCTTTATGAACTTATAAAAGTGTGATTGAGTAATTTTTAAGCTTATTTAGTGAACCATATTTAACTCATTTTAGACATGAAGAATATAATTAATTTATATATTTATATTTATATATATTTTTATGGGGAATGATCTGTTTACGAACTTACAAATTATACTTTGTTTGACCCGTAATACTCTACTCAAGAGTGTATTACCAGTCAGACATAGTGTACTTTGTAAGAGTTTGTAAACAAAAAGTTTATAAATATAACCTTCCCCTATTTTTATATATCCAATCCAACTAATGACCCATCGAGCCGACCAGTGACCCAATAATCCATTACCGGATCGATGCCGGGTTGGGTTTAATAACGGATGTGCTTCTTCCAAGAATGAAGCTTGACTCGAGTAGAGACTGCTAAGTCCGCTACTTTGGTTTGAAACCTTTAGGGGGCTGTTTGGTTCAGGTTATATGTGAATTTCCCCAGTCATCCATGAGTGACATTGTGAGTTGTCTTTGTTTGGTAGAAGAGAACCACAAATATACCCATAAAACATGGTTGCCCAGCCATTGACAAAAGCGTGCAAAAAAGCAAGAAAACTACTGTGTCATTTGACCACTTTGAATGTGGTATTTCAAAAAGTGGATTAAAGGGATTGACAAAACTACCCCGTCCTAGTACTGAGCAAAGTAACGCTCAACTACCTCCATCATCTTTGTAACATTAAAAAATTTAAATAAAGGTTATTTTCGTCATTAATATCAATTTTCTCATATATATTTTACTTTAAACCAAATATAGACTCATATAATTTAAACATTCACAGATCACCAATTTTCTCATCTATGTTTAATACTAGGTTACTTTAAACCAAATTATATAGGTGACATTTTGCTGTGAAGAAGAACAACAACAAGAAGAAACAACCAAAGAAAGACAATAAACATTATTATTTATTACAAAAATAAAACGATGGATGCTTTATGGTTATGTGCAACCGATGAGTGATTATATTAATGTCTAATATGATAACTAATTTGGAATGAGACCACTTTTCTTTTTCTCTGTTTTATCGGTTGATGATTACATGTAACTGGTTTGATTTTTAATTTTGAAAACACTAGCTTTCTATATCCGTATAACATTAATAAACCACAAAAAGGTGGGTGAAGAAAACCCTGTGTAGAAACTCAATGAACAGAAATCATATTTGAAGAAAAGAGTAAAGGTGGGATTATTTTTATGAAATTATTCAACTTTCTCAATAATATTTGATAATCAACTAGATATAGATTCAGTAAATTTGAACAAATAATTTCGGTAATATTTTGACTTATTAAATAACTTTTTGATAATATTTTTGAAAAAAAATAAAAATTCTCATTGTATTTCTGAAAATCATGATTCCTATATATAAAAAAATTATCCTCCATTGTCATAGTTCAAGAGAAAACTATATACATATAAGTAGGTGTATTATCAAGATTTATCCTCCATTGTCATAGTTCAAGAGAAGAAAAGAAAATTATATACATATAAGTAGGTGTATTATCAAGATGTATCGTGTGGTGTATGTTTCAATAGATAAAAACTATTTACATATAAGTACGTGTATTATCAAAAAGGCATATTTAAATGAAAAATATAAGAAGGTATTTGATTTGCTTTTTGTTTTCATTTTTACTCGATATATTATTTTGTTTCTTATTCTCAGAATTTCGTAATGAAAATAGTAAAAGTGGAATTTTCTTTTTGTTCTCATTATTTCTTTCATAAAATCCCGAAACAGAAAATAAAATAAAATGAAAATATTTTTAAAATTATGAGTGAAAATTAATTAATTATAATGAAAAGAGAAACGAATTAAAAACTACCAAATATATTTCTGAATATTGCCTTCTTGTGACAATAGTTTCCCGACAAAAAATATACTCATTATTCAAAAATGTTTCATATGGCCAAATTGCCCATGTAAATATTACGACAGCTCTCGAAGCTTGTTTTGCTAACACGGTACGCACAATTCTTAAGGCTTTTTAACTTTTTTTTATCTCTCGTTAATTAATTAATAATTATTTTGTCCCTTACTCAGAACTATCTATTAACTTGCTTCTCTTTACTCGATTAACTTGAATATTTAATCGATTAAATGATCAAAATATGCAAAAATAATTGACTCACTCAAGATTTAATCGATTAAATCTCTTCTTTAATAGATTAATTTGAATATTTAATCGATTTAAACCTATATTTAATCGATTAAATATCCCAAATGAACGTAAAAGCATTGATTGAATGAGACAAACAAGAAAAACTCGCTACGTTCAAAGAGGATGATTAAGGTTTAGTTTATTACAATGATTAAGTTTTGGCTGCTCCAAGTGTTCGTTTGAAATATGTCTTACTTGCTGTGAAGAAATACAAAATGGAAGTATTTCACCCCGGCCTGAACTGAAGTTTGAATATGTTAATAAGGGCAGTGAGTACATGCATGGTGGTCATCCTCAACTAGTATATTGTGATTTAGAACTTTAGATGGTACTATTGAGATATATACTGATTGAAATGTTAACAACGATGGAAGTATTAGATCTCTCCCAAAAGAAATGAGGGGTTGTGATGACTATGTATTGGAGCTGAAGTCTATACTTCCAGATGGATGGATTTCTAAGTTGGAAGTCAAAACTCGTGACATGCTGAAGAATTTTTGTAAAATTGAACACAAAACTCTTCATAAAGAAACAATATTAAGCAACAAATCTATAATAAGAGATGTCACAAATGATAATAACATATATTGTCAAGTGACTTGTCAGAAGAAGGGCTATTTCTCTTCGAATAGCATTGTATTGAAGGTGAACCAATCATAGTTCGGAATGTTCTTAAAATAGGGACATGTCTGAGTTGGGAGCCAAAGGTCACTTGACGAGCATTATGCGAAAATTTGGATTCAGGAACAACTCAAATGCGTTAATGAATTAAGATTGGTTCTCACTACGCAGTGAACCAACGAGTTTTCCGTGTTTGTCTCATTCATTCAATGTTTTCACGCTTATTTAGAATATTTAATCGATTACGTATAAGTTTTCATTGATTAAATATTCAAGTTAATCAATTAAAGAGGGACAAATTGGTGGATAATTTTGAATAAGGGATAAAATATTTATTAATTAATTAACAAAGGATAAAAGGGTCAAAAAGTCCAGTTCTTAAAGAATTTAATTTTATCCTATATAATCCTGTTTACGATAATAAGTAGATGTCAAATATTTACTTCTGTATATTAAATTAGAATTTTTTTTTCTAGAATAATTTAATTTAATTTTTTATTCTGCTCCATTCAATAACTTTCATTCTTAATTTATATTTCAATTTAAATTTTTTAAATTAATTATACATATCTTCTTCGTACATACTTGCTCTTTTAGTTTAACTTTTTAAAATTTCACCTAGATTAATTATACATGTCTAATTTATAATTATTAACATTTTTAAATTTTTAGTTTATTTTTTAAATATCACTTAAATTTAAAATGCACTAAATATTTGCTAGTTTTAAATATGAACTTATTCATATCACTTTTTTTTTTTTTTTTTAAATCCAGAAAAGAAAAATTTAAAAATCTGAGTTTAGAGGGTAAACCCTGGTTCATGCTCCGCCATATACTTACTATTCAGCAGAGAGAGAAGCAAACTTCATCACATAAATTTCTCTCTGAAATTCAGATTTAGCAAAATCGAAGAAGCACATGGAGTTGTGCACTGCGATTCTTCCATCACGCTATTCAGTTCTACCAAGGTTCTCTACTACAACACCTCATGGAGTTTCCGTTCGTCCCCATTCCTTATCAATCAAAACCTCAATTCCATTTCCACGCTTCAACTTTCGTACCAAAGGCAAAGGTGAGTAACCGAATTCATCACAACAAGTTATTAGCTCTTTTTTTTTTTTTTAAATTTCTACGATGTGAATTGTTGCATGTTGTGAAACAGAAGCAGGAACGTTGCAATTGCAACGTTGTGTTGCTTCTAGTGAAGGAAGTTCCTCTGATGTCTTGGATGATAGTCGAATGATTGGAGTGTGTGATAAGCTTATTGGGGTTTTCATGGTTGACAAGCCTACTCCAAGTGATTGGAGAAGGTTGTTAGCATTTAGCAAGGAATGGAACAACATTAGGCCCCATTTTTTCACGCGCTGTCGCGTTAGAGCTGATGCTGAGGATGATCCCACCATGAAGGAGAAGCTGCTTCGCCTTGCAAGGAAGCTCAAAGAGGTCTAACTTATTTTCATTTTGCTAGTACAACAGTTAAGAGTGCCTATCATAGACCCACACAATGGGTTTGACTCTTACTCGAACCTTGCACAGAGTAGGAGCTTTATAGTACCATTTGGCCTTTATAAAGTGTGAATAATGGATTTGGATCCTTTCATGTTTAAAAGTAGTAATGTTGTCATATTGTTTGATCACAACCACTTATTGATGATGAGATAAGAAAGAGAAAAATGTATGATTTTTAAATAAGTGGTTGTGATTTAAGAACATGACCACATGACCACTTCTAAACATGAGAGGATCCAAATCCGTGAATAATATATGAATGAGATACTTGTTATTGTGTTTTTCAACTGTGAGCTGCGTCAATTGGAAAATTTAAGAAACGGGAATTGGGATTTTGCCATTTTGTTTAGAACTTCTCTTGTTGTGCAGATTGATGAGGATGTGCAGAGACACAATGATCTTCTTGAAGTGATCAGACGGGATCCTTCGGGAATTAGTGAGATTGTTTCCAAGCGTCGTAAAGATTTTACAAAAGAATTCTTTGTGCACCTTCACACGGTGGCTCAAGCCTACTATGACAATGCAGAAGAGCAAAGTGGTAGGACTTATTTCACAAGCTTTTAGCAATCTAAGTTGATGTTTCATAGAACTTTATATCATACCAAATTGTATCATCTGGTATTTCTGGTCTGCTAAACCATCAAAACATATTAAGTTATTCAGTTCAGAACTTTGCTACTTTTCTTTCTTTCTATGAGCATAGCCAGATAGTGGTGCTTTTCTATGGTCACACATTCAATTTATGACCCATATGGAACTTTAAATATTAAACTTGTAGAAGCAAAAGCACTTTTGAAATTGAAGCTTAATTTAAATAAGATCATAATTAGGAGAACATCAGGATATTATGTAGGTTAGGCTGGGTGGAATTCAGATTGTTATCCTTAGAGTACATGTACAATCAATATCATGTGGTAGATGTTTTATGTTAAGAAATGTGTTACTTTAATGGGATAGTTCAAACGTGCATTTTTTAATTAATTTGGCGTTTTATAACCTATAATGTATTTTTGTGTGACAAGAACTGGCAAAGCTTGGGAATACATGCTTGGCTGCTGTACAAGCCTATGATGCTGCAACTGAAAGCATTGAACAGCTAAATGCTGCAGAGTTGAAATTCCAAGATATTATCAATTCTCCGTCACTTGATGCTGCCTGCAGGAAGATAGACAATTTGGCTGAGAAAAAGGAACTTGATTCAACGTTGGTATTGATGATCACAAAAGCTTGGTCAGCTGCCAAGGAGTCAAATATGATGAAAGATGAGGTAAATTGATGGTGAACTCAGTACTTCCCTTTCTATGTGCTGTTTCTGTTTAACTACAAGAACATGGAGGATAAGAAATTTCGGATGATTGTTGCTAGTTTAAAATAGTTTCTTTAGGCTGCAATGCACATGCGCAGTGTGGGATAAGGACCCAGTGGGTAAGGTAGGTAGTTCGCTGTTTTTTCTTTTATTTTCCAGCAAAAAGATAACTGGATGTTTGGAATAGTACAGTCATCTCTTTTTACTAGCACTTGCTTTTGATTATGATAGAATGCCTGGCAGTGCAGCCCAATTAATTTCCCTATCTATGATTTTTTTCCTGCCATTTTTTTTTGAAGGAGAGATAGGAGAGATTACATATTTTTGTGAATATAAGAAGCAAATGAGTCATACTTACATGTTTATACCAAATCTTGGTAGAATGTGAAATGGTATGAATCTTATGTTCACGAGCTACTTTTAGTTGTTAAAATTCTTTCATATGAAATATGATGCTTTGAAAATTGAAATAATTTATGCCATGTGTGATATCATTACAAAATATGAGTATCTTGTTGACTGATTATGGGAGGTCCAATTTGATCTTGTGCATATAACAAATCTTCTCATTTCAGATTTATATCCTAATTAGCTAGATATTTATGGTTATATTTCTTCCATTGTACATATTATACTTGTTATTTCCTACTATCTTATTTTAGCTTGTAAATGAAACATTTATTTGCAGGTAAAAGATATCCTCTATCATTTATACAGGACTGCAGTGGGAAATCTTCAGAGACTTGTGCCAAAAGAGATTCGAATAATCAAGTATCTTATTAAAATTGAGGATCCTGAGGAGCAACTGTCTGCCCTCCAAGATGCATTTACACCTGGAGAAGAACTTGAAGGAAAGGATGTGGATAACTTGTACACGTATGTATTACATGTCAGAATATAATAAATCTTGAAATAAAACTCAGTTACTAAAACTTTTTCTTAATATCATTTTTAGGACTCCGGAGAAGCTTCACACATGGATAAAGACTGTGGTTGATGCTTATCATTTGAGCAAAGAAGGTACACTCATTAGGGAAGCAAGGGATCTGTTGAATCCTGAGGTCATCCAAAAGTTGGAGGTGCTGAAGAAGGTTGTGGAAAGAAAATTCATGTGAATAGGAGCTTATAAAAACATACTTAGGTGGTTTTCCTACTCTAAAAGGCCACGAGTATACTTGAAGCTTGAGATTCTCGATGTCCACCAACTAACAAGCCCGGATATACAACAGCTTTGCTGCAAGGAAATTCTAAATTTTGGTTAGTGTCCAGGGGTGTAGATTTTATTTTACTTTTTAACAATAGAATAAACTAAATTAGGAAACAAAGTTAGACAACTATCATAATTACAGCATCAAAAGTTTACCTTCGTTTTTGGTTAAAATAGGAGGTTGAAAACTGAGAGAGTAGGGGAATGTATTCTTTGCTTGTGGGACAGGGAAGTATTACATGGTAGACCTGGGAGGCTGGGATATGAATACAAGACCTACAAAATTTGATCCTGGCACCATGTGACCATTCAACCAAAGGCCATGGCCCTTGATCAGGTCAATTATGTTGTTGCATGGCTGTAGATACAGTGTACATTCTCACGTATTTGTTTTATTATCCTGTTACTCAAAGGTCAATTTCCTAATTTAAAATTTAATGTTATGTCGAGTTGACCAAATCTCAATGGAAAAATTATAATGTCCCCTAACAGATACCTAGAATCCAATTTACTGCATTATACCTAAAAAAAATTATATGACCTGGTCGTGGTGTTTGCCTTCAAGGTAGATGTTTGGGGTACATAGGAGGGACTTAATTTAGCATGGGCCGTGGTTGTCGCAAGGTTGTGGTTGAATAAGTGAATTGGATTTTGTGGTAGTGGTTAATTTGCTTAGGAAGGAGTTATCTAATTAGGTTAAGAGGAATGTTAAATAATCAGGATTCACTTTTTATTTAATGAAGCTTAAAAATTCACTTATTAATAAATAAATAAAATGTGTTGGAAAGAGTAAATTAAAAGAAGGGATAAATGTTTTTCGTGTAGTAGGAAATACTTTTATTTTTTACGTATACATAAAAGTGTGTGTGATCTTTTTTTTTTTTCTCTCTTCTCTCTTCATATGGCCCCATATAAGTTGGGATAGGTTATTGTGCCTACTCCTATTTTACCTACTTTTGCCTACCCTTTTCGTTACCGTGCGATTACCATCTCATCCAACGATCCACATTTGTGATATAAAATAAACCTTTTTTTCCCTTTTTTTTCTTCTCACTTTCTTCCATACCTTTTCTCTCTCCTCCCATTTCTCTCTTCCTCTGCCATATACCTAATTTTTTTCCCTTCTGCCGTCGTGGACCTCAATCTCTTGACAAACTGTTCGATTCTAATGATATTTTTAATCCTTATAAATTAATACGATTGAATCGATGACTAACAAAGAAGTTTTGATGTGATTCAAAGCGGTGGTGCCACAAGGTCGATCTGTTCACAGAATCCTCCTTGTCTCTGCTTCAATATGTCTCTGTTCTTCCACATGATAGATACTCTTAATTTCTAATAATTAATTGGCTATCTGTAAACATAATTGCTGGAATGGCACCAATTTCTTTCTAGATTTTTCCAATATCAATTTTTTTTATTCTTTAATTTTTTTATTTATTTTGAATCTTTTCCAACTCTGCACAGATCTTTTGAATCACATTAAAACTTCTTTGTTAGTCATCGATTCAATCTTATTAATTTATAAAATTTATGTTGTTCTTCAGATCTAAAAACTTGTTGTGATTTTTCAATCCATTGACACTGATAATTTGATAGAAACTGATTCAGAAGGAGAAAATTTACATTACAATAATAAAAACAGAGACTAATGTATATTGACGATGATTTCAAATGCTGTGGTAATTGATTTCAAATGCTTCTGCGCCGTTCACCTGGGCAGAGATTAATGATAAAGGAAAAAAAATAGGTATATGGCAGAGGAAGAGAGAAAGGGGAGGAGAGAGAAAGGGTATGAGAGAAAGTGAGAAGAAAGAAAGGGAAAAAAAAAGGTTTATTTTATATCACAAATATGGATCGTTGGATGAGATGGTAATCGAACGGTAACGAAAGGGGTAGGCAAAAGTAGGTAAAATAGGAGTAGGCATAATAACCTATCCCATATAAGTTTTATACATTTTTATATTATAGGAGATAAAATTATCTCTTGCAATGAAAAACATTATTCCGTTAAAAAAATTATTAAAAAGGATTGATTGTACACGAGACAAGCTAGCTCGCGATGGGTTAGCAATAAATTGATCAGACTGAGTTGACTTTATGGTTTAAACGGGCTAAACGACCCGTGGTAAAGCCCATAAGGTCACGGGTTGGCCCACGACCCTTTTAAATGGACCACACTTAAGAATTGTGATGTGCCTAATCCTAACATGTGACCAAGCTCTAGCTGTTATATAGAAAACGACACAACAGAACTCGACTCGTGTCGTTTCAATGGCGTCAATTTCTCCTTCAAGCAATACTACAAGGCCAAGTGCTGCTGATCTCACGAAGCAATTCAGGAGCCATGAAGTCGCGATAGCCGAACTCGACAAGCTTCCTTCCTCTAGGGTAACGCATTTTTCTTCTCTCTCTCTTTTCTCTAACGATGATTAGGAAGATGCCGAAAGGTGGATTTTTAATTCATAAGCTTTTGCTTTAACTATTTATATCACTTGGATTTGGAGCTGAATAGATTCTAACTATTTTGGATTCGAAGTTGTGGATGGTTGATTTTCGTTTTTGTGTTGAGTTCAACCTTCAAATACTTTTTTTGCTTAGGGCTGCTGTGTCTAGCCTATAGTACAACAGCATGGTACAGAAAGTACAAATAAACAATTAGTTGCAATAACAGTTAGTACAAACAATTGGGATAGCTATTATTTGAACCCTCCCCCCTTAACGCAGAACACATGAACAATATGTACTTACCTTATTTGTTGTTATGAGTAAAGTTGATCCGAGGATATCTGAGAGACTTGGACTCGTTTGGATAAGTTAAGAAAAAGTATTTTATATAACTTCCTTATTCTAGAAGTGTTTTTTTACAAAAGCTAAAACTATTTAGATTTTTTTTTAAAAGTTTATTTTTTCTGCTGTCAATGTAAATAACGCTCAAAATGATGTTGTTTTGGGGCAGAAATCAAGATATTTTTGTAATTATAATTTATTTCAGGGTTATAATAGTCTTTATCATTATAATTTTTTTAATTTTCAACCTAAAACGATGTCGTTTTGAGAGTAAATAACTTATATTCACTGTACAAACATTAAAGCCTTTAAAAAAATATTTAACTTTTGTGTTATGCTTTTTTTAGAAGCTAAAATTTTTAGCTTAAAAAAGAAGGCAGGTTATTATTACAATTTTTTTGTTTACAAACTCTTATAATAAACTATATACTTCGTAAAGTGAGTGAATGTATTCCCGGGAATAGATAGTTGAGTTTGTAAACAAAAAAATTGTAAATATAATTTTTTCCTAAAAATAAATAACTTTTTTTTTTTGTGACTTCTGCTTTTAAGAGAAAGCAGATATACAAACGGAAGTTGTAGTAGAAGTACTTTTTTCTATAAAAAAAACAGCTTTTGCCTAAAAGAAAGCCCATCCAAACGGGCTTAGTAAATGACAAAACTAGTGGCTGTGCATCCTATACGATATCTTTTCTATGATGAAAAGATAATTCACCTGTATATTATTGCTCTTTTGATTATTTTGTTGTATTTTTATTGTTTCCTTACTTTCTATGAACAATAATAAAGTGATTCTTTAGTTTTATTCTGTTATTCCCCCAACTCTCTCTCGACAAGGGAAGGGGATGTTTGTGGAAATTGTATAGGGTAGATAAGATACATAAAGGACTTTCTTTTCTTACAGGCTGTCTATCAGAGAAATGGGAACTTATTTTTTCGCACAACCATTCAAAAAGCAACAGCAATGGAGCAGAGTAACAATTCTTCACCTTTGACACTTTTCTTCTCATTATTAGAAGAAACGTTGTTTTAAGATGCCAAACAATTCTGATAATATTTTTTTTTTTCCGGAATTTGTGTTGGGTAGAACAACTTGATTCAGCCAAAGCCAAGCTGAGAGATCTGAATTCTTCGTCATAGTCATATGCTAGAACTCTGGTGGTTTTGGAGTAACACATCATTTTCCAGTTGGAGACTTCATTTTATCAAGAGCTGCTATGTCCTAGATACTGTAAATTATATATAATGCATTAACTCTAATGATATTGTTCTAGACTGAAAAATGAACTTGTCTTGAATACGTTGAGATTATACTTTACCAATCTTTATGAATTTTGTCCTTTAAGGTCCTTCTCACATCATGGAGGTCGAGAATTTTTGTTCATATGTTTATTCAATTGTGTTTTGATTGTTTATTGACATTTTATCACTGTTATGCTAACCTATGAAGCACTGTAGCTTTGAAGAAATTGTTTACTCTTGGTCCCCTTAGAGAAGTTGGACCATATTTTCACGTAAGCATCGTTTCAACATAGAGAACAGACATGGCCTGAAATGCGAAGATTTATTAAGGCATTGAAGAAATTTCTTTTTATGTCATTTGTATGTCAGCCCAGAAGAGTTCATAGAAGAAAAAGCTCTCTCTCTCTACAATAGCCATTCCTATTAACAAACGAACATGTTAAGAGTGAAAATGGAGCCCCCCAAACAAATATCATGAAGCAACTACCCTCTCAAACTGATGTTTAGTTATGTAAGTAAGGTCCAAAACCTGTTGCTTGCAATCACTTTTTTCTTTTTGGATAAATCACAGGTATCCTTTATGGAAGGTAATTCTGTTTGGAACGGGTCTAGGATTAAGGTTTTAAACCCCTCCTAGAGATAGTACTGGATGCTTGCAATCACTTTACCAGTGCTTTGCTTGGGTATTTTGTAGTTGAGTGCAAACTGGAGAGCTTTTTGTATTGTCCAGGCTTCCAACAAAATGATAGTTCAAAAAGCAAACAACTTCCTAGAGGCCTCAAGAAGGGGGTCCCACCAGATAGCCTAGCTTATTAACATAACTACATAAGAACCATCGGCATTAACCTTCTTTCTATGTTGAGATATATAGTCCCACATTGGTTGTATATGCAATTAATGTAGAGTTTATAAGGCCTTGAGCACTCTCACCCTTTGAGCTAGCTTTTGGGGTAATGTATCCCAAAGTTCTTTACCCTATATGCATTAGGGGGAAGACTAACCAGCTTAGCGTACCACCTAGGCACCTACTACCATTCACATATGGATGTTGGACGCAAGATCCAGTTTGGTACGTTAGATTCTTGGAGATTCTCGGGAAACTGAATTTTTAATTTTCAGATATTATCGTAAACTGAATGTAAAAATTATATTTCTAAAAATTGAAATTCTCGGACAAAAAAAATTTTCTCCTCTACCAAACGCTCCCTTAGAGGGTTTTGCTTTTAGGAAATTCCTCCAATGACCAACACTGGAGGTTGGACGCAAGATCCAGTTTGGTACGTGAGATTCTTGGAGATTCTCGGGAAACTGAATTTTTAATTTTCAGATATTATCGTAAACTGAATGTAAAAATTATATTTCTAAAAATTGAAATTCTCAGACAAAAAAAATTTCTCCTCTACCAAACGCTCCCTTAGAGGGTTTTGCTTTTAGGAAATTCCTCCAATGACCAACACTGGAGGTTGGACCCAAGATCCAGTTTGGTACATGAGATTCTTGGAGATTCTCGGGAAACTGAATTTTTAATTTTCAGAAATTATATTAAACTGAATGTAAAAATTATATTTTTAAAAATTGAAATTCTTGGACAAAATTTTTTTTCTCCTCTACCAAACGCTCCCGTAGAGAGTTTTGCTTTTAGGAAATTCCTCCGATGACCAACACTGTATTCATGCCAAATAAGCCGTAATGATATCAGTACCGAACAAGTTAAATATATATGAAGCACTGTAAACGAAATCCCACCCAATTTCATAGATTTTCTATAAGTGGTGGCACAATATTAGAAACCAAAATCTGGCAGCTTCAT